TTAGCTGGCACCGCAGGGGGGTGGTCCCATGGCAACGCAGACAGTCCAGGCCGTGCGCCACCGGTGTCTCCGGTCCCGAGCCGCGAGCTGCAGGAAATATCCGGGCCCAAGTTGTCCGCTGCAAGGACACCCCGCCCACGGCAGCGCCGCCAAACCGCTTTCTATGCTGCTGGTGTCCCCAGGCTGGAGCCGTGAAAGCCAATCCAGCTGGTTGTCGGGGTGCAGAACTGGGCCGCGGAGGCCAAGCCTTGCTCACCGGCAACACTGGAGCTTCCCACGCTGACCGGTAGGTCTTCCATGCCGCTCCGCTCAGACCGCCAGCTTCTTGCTACAGGGCTGTCTCCCTCTGGAGCTGTCTTCCCCCCCTCTCGTCTATGTTGAGCCCATGGCGAACAGCATCCTACAAACCAAAGAAGTTGAACCAATCAATTCAAACTTCTTTCGTGAGAAGTTTGAATTGATTGGTTCAACTTTTTGAGTCCTACTTTTTTTGGGGGGGGCACTGCACGTGGCTGGGAGCCGCAGGAGACGGCTGAAAGAGCCGCATGCGGCTCCGGAGCCGTGGGTTGCCGACCCGTGAGCTAGAGCAACTGGACTATCTAATTTGGTCTCCTAAAGGATCCTTTGAAGAGGGTGATGGAGACAAAGTAAACTTAACATCTCAGAACTAACCAATCATAAACATATAAAATGTTTACATTTGTACAAAAATCTCTGTAAAACTCCCTGAAATATATATCTATCTATCTATAAATAAAAATGTAAATGTTTGTTTGTTCAAAATCTTAAATCTCTGAAAGTTCTTCACCAATTGCTTTGAAATTTTGATACAACGTTGCATTCGAATACGCGCATGTTTTTATATACCTACTATTATATAGATGTCACACCTGTGACAGGTAAAAACATGCTTGGACAATTATGTTGCGTGTTCTAGAGTCGGCAAACCAGACAATCTCTATATCTGCACAGACAATGGAACAACAAAAAATATTGTATACCCACAAGCATTGTGAAATTAAACATATTACAAACGTGCGCTTTCTCT